TACTTCCCTTCCCGAATTTCTTCTATCGAAATATCCCTAAATCCGAAACCCGATATATTTACTTACGCTAATTTTAACCTTTAAGCTCTATACTATTAAGCGAGCACGCTATAGTAGGGTATTTTATATACTTATAGCCCGGATTAACGTCCTATCTTAGGAAGTTTTAACTAGGCTATCTTTATTTCGTTTAAAGATAGGGTACGATAGGTCTTTAGATCTCTATACCCTAGAACGTTTATACTAATAGAAATAGGTATAAAGCTACTAGTAAGTGAAGCTACTACGCTCTAATACCTTAGGGCTTATAGCGATATTCTAGTTCTAGAAGTATACGACTATTAGTAACGAAATCTCCTAGACTATAATATTCTAGTCCTAATCTATTATAGTGCTTCGTCCGATAATAATATCGGTATTCCGTTTATTTTTATAAGTAAGGCGCCTAGTAGGCCACTATTAAAATTTTAGAGATTAGTTAGTTCTCCTTAACCTAACCTAGAGACTACTAGTAAAGCTAAAATTCTCTCCTAGTTAGGCGGTATTACCTAGAAGCTTTCGTAGTTACGATTCGATAAAATAGGCTTACTATTTAAAGATAAATTCTTTAAAATTAAGGAATATCTCTTACGTGGTTATATATTATATAGACGATATTCTTTAGAGGTCCTATAAGGGCCTTTTACCTCCGAGGTAGAGTTCTATAATAGCCTTATCTCTACGTTCTTAGAGTATATAGAAATTCTATAGTTATTATATTATTACTTTATAGTACCCGTTCCTTCGCGGGACGACTATTAATCTAGTATATAATATAAGAGCGCTATAAACCTATAGAACGACTTTATAGCTATTAGAGGTAAGACCGACTCGTTAGATAATAGACTAGATTATATTATCGTAGGCGACGCTCTCCGCGATATTATATAGAAACTTAAACTCCTAACTATTAATTCGGAGACTTTTCCGTTATACTACCCTAATCTAAGTATTAATAATATATATATTAATAATAATTATAATATTACCTATATTATCGACTAGGTATTCGCTTTATTTATTCCTAAATTAATACTTTTAACTATACTAGGATTACTATAATATCGTAACGAAATTAGTTCGGAGTTATATATACCTTTTATAGATAGCTTTATATCTACTATACCTAGATCGATAGAAGAGAGGTCGATCTATAGATATCACGATTCCTTAGAGCGGAGCTAAGTCTCCTAGAGATTAAGTCGACTTCTTAACCTAGACTTAATTAGTGACTATACTCTCTTTACTATAGTCTAGCACTTTACCTATAGGCCTAAATAGGATCTAGACGATTACTTCTTACGATAGTAGAGTTCGCCTTACTATATTAGGCTTTATAACGAAGTCTAATAGGAGGATTAGCTATATTCGAAAATTTAAAAGGATAAAAAAGATTATTTTCGAAATAAGGATCTTAGAGAGATAATAGCTAAAAAGCTAACACTTATATCCGAATAGAAAACACGGTTTACTATTAATTATCCGCTAAGACTTCGGAAAGATATATTTATTACTTCTCCTAAGTTATAGAAATAGATTTAACAATTTCTATAGGACTAGGAAGATATATCTTAACGAGTTTACACTAGGTATTAATATTATATTAATATTATATTAATATCTTAAGCGAATACGCTTAACTAGGATATCCTATAGATTATTAGTCTTATCGTCTTTTACCTTCTTAAAATTAGATTATATATTAAAAATTATTTAAAGGGAAATACCGTTTATAATATAGTGCTTAATATACTTAAATTAATTATACCCTCGCGTTATTTAATCTCTATAATAGCTTAGTTAATATCTTACTTTAGACCTAAGATATTAATATAACCTACTACCCTTAAGATAGTACTAGACTATAGCACTAGCGATATAGTATTCTCTCTTTTCCGCGCTAATTAGTAGGGTTAGAAGATCTAGTAGGGTCGATAGCTATAGACGTCTCTTAGGTATAGTATTTAAATACTATAATATTTAATATTCTTTTCGACGTTAGTAGGCTATTATTACGACTAGGTTCTAGTGCTAGGAGCGCTATATTTATATTCTCGATTTTTCGCACTAGCCTCTTATAATATTTCTTCTATATAGTATAGCCGCTTAATACCGAGGCTACCTATTAGGTAGTTAGCGGTACTCGATAAAATTAACACTATAGATCGTAAGATAAGGATATACTAACGGCTAGTAATATTTTAGGTCTCCCTCTATAGTCTATAATTATTAACCTAAAATATACGAATATCGCTTTCGGGTAAATAACCGGATTTTATTAGCGCTTCGATAAGATCCTCCCTCTACTTATATCTAGGCTTTCTATAAAAGTATTCGCTAGTCCGATAGGTCTTTTTTCGGAATTTTATAAGTAGACCTACCCCCGCTTTATTAAAAACTATCCTAATTATAATACCTTCTAGGAGATAATACCACGTATTATAACGCCTTTATTCTATAGGGTATAACTTAGGGAATTATCTATAAGGTATAGGCCGCTATTACACTAAACTAGTAGGATTAGATATATAGAGGGGTTATCTATACTAATCGCTTATAATTAGTAGTCCTCTAGGAGCGCTCTACTTTAATAGTTCTAGCCCTAGTTAATTTTTTAGTAAAGGGCCTAGGCCCTCCCGAGGTTATTATAGATTCGGATTCGGATTTAGATTTATTCGTATCCGTCCCGCCGCGTGAAAACTTATTAGTAGTATTCGAAATTAGCTTTACCACTACACTCTCTCGAACTAATTCCTAAACCCTACCTCTAAATACGCTAATCTAATTTTAGTCCTTTCCCTAGTAACTAGAAACTATATCGAATTTACTCGGGAAAAACCACTAATAAAACATCTAATAGGGCTTTAGGTTATTTTACGGCTATAGTCCCGTAATCTGGTTACTATACGAACCGAACCACTTACGCACGCTATCTAAATTTGTCCCTATAGTTCTCGCCTCCTAACGAGACAGCCGGACAAGGTGAGACTTTCTTCCGGGAAGGAGCCTTATAGCAAAATACACTTATATTCATCTAGTATTATAGTTGAATAGTCGGCTAGTGAATAAAAGGCTTAAGATAAGGTAGGAGCGCTAGGATAAGGATCGATCACCACACAATTTTACTATAATAGATAAGCGGCTTTACACTAAGAAAAAAATAAATTCTTTACTCGAGTCATATAGTAACCAATTAACAGAGCTCTCGCGTGGCTATGTATAGGTGCCAAGAGATAAATGTTTTAGAGACTACGGTCATATCTAATGATATATCACTATAGCCTCGCAGAGCGGCCTAAGCGGTCAATATGCTGGCCT